AATTAGCTGTTAAGATCACTGTGCACCCCATTGAGATTGTGCTATCATGACAGAGCTTTGTAAATCACAAGATAGGGGCTTCAGCTTTGGAAATACCAAAATCAACCAATTTCAACAGAAGACTTATTTTGACAAGCAATAGAAAGCCAATGTTCTTTGTTCTGAAAGCTTTTTATCTACCAATGAGCCTGTTAGAATTAGCCCTGTGACAAAGCCTTGTCAAGATTTTGATTCAACCAGAACTGACTGACGCTGCACAAGATGACAAGAGACTCTTACTGAGGGCAAGATCCTAGCATGAGGTTAGGTCACTTTTCAAGATTTCTGATGCATATTGACAGCCTGTTTGCGGATTTGCTACAACTCCACACATTGCTACACTTATGTAAAAAAAAAAAAAAAGCCACATCTTGACTATAAAGGGAAACCTTCCAGCATGAACCCTACAAATATAACAACTTTCCTTCCATGACCTCGAGTTGGAGTTGAGAGAGTGGTTATTAATTCGTGTGACTTGACTGAGAAGCGTAATCTTCTGCCCTGGCACTACTAAGGCCTTCATCTGTGCAGGAGCTACGCAATAACACAGTGACATAAGCATAAGACAAAGTCTGCTCTCAGTCTCGCCACATTCACAAGCCCCGCGCACTGCCGCGGCTGTGGCAGTTTTTTTGTTTTTTTTTAAATCTTAACTTTCTAATGGCTGAACTGGCGAAAAAACACCATTCACCAAGATTGTCCAAACGTAGAAAAAGGCGCCCGGACGAGAGGCGGGAAGAGATGCTACTCGCTTTGGGGCAGTTACATAACATCTCACTTGCCTCTCTCTCTGCGGAATGCCAGGATAGTGTTTGTAAACAGAGCGGCCATGTGCATGCGCTCACGTGGAGGAAGCGTTTGAGTCCCTGCCCTCGCTGTCTCACCCCTGAGGTAAACCCTGACATCGATACATGCTCACAGGGCCAGCAACACTCCCTGCAGCCCGTGCCACTCAACCAGAGCGTTATCACCATCGCTCCATAATTACACCTCTGCCCGGATAACAGCCTCGTAGTAAAAGAAGGCCATGAGTCTTTATTTGGGATTTACACTTTATCTGATGGAGCAGTCACTGGTAATACATTTGCATCTCAGACTCGTAAAAACATTCTTATCATTACACAATTTACAGTGGGGACAAAAGAACCACTCCTGACTGCAATTTCACCAAAACCTCTTCAATTATGTTGGGCTGTCATGGACATGGAAGACAAGATTCTTGTTGGGGATTGGGAATAGCTCTTATTTGCCGACCGTAGAGATGAGACATATTGTCTGTGATTGGGCTTTGATTAATAGACATTATTAAGAATTATTTTCAAGTAAGATGGAACAAAACTGTCTACTGTTATATTGTAATATATCATTTTGCACACTTGGTCCATGCACAGAGAAGAGATTCACAATTTGAGAGACCTTCTGATGCGCTCTTTAAGCCTCAGAACTGATCATTGCTTAAAGCATTGATAAACTTCAAGTAGAAAAAAGTAATGCAAATATGTTTCAAAAGAAATGGTTTGATCTGTCAAGACTGCACTACAATGTGGCGCCAAGATTCCTTTGCTGCTTATTGTGGTTTACTGCTTCTCTCTCGCTCTCTAAAGACAAACAACCCCCAATAGCAGACATGAGGGAAATCAATACTGCAGAAATCAATACAGCTTTAAGTATCTCGCCATTTTGTCTCAGGAAAGCAGGCAAGCTTTGACCAGCCAGCAGTCAGGTGTAGTGCAATCTAAAATGTCTAACCTACCACTGGGCCTGTTTTTCTGTGTCACCGGTGCAACAGCCCCTGGCTGGAAATATGATGCGTGGGCTGGACAGAGCAGGGTCAAAGGTGAGGGCTTGGATTAGGGCTTGGGTATTGTAAGTGGACAGCATTGTTGTGGGACGCTATGGCAACTGGACATTCTTCCCAAAGGTGATATTGTCTTAGCTCTAGGAGTGACATAAAGGGGACTTACAGCCATGGCGAAGGAGCAATCCAACCACACGGCTTTATCTGTAGGTGTGGATGGAGGAGAGCAGCTATGTGCATGTGATTGATCTATCTGGCCCTTCCCCCACTCAGCCCCCTATAGACCCATTTATGCTCTGGTTCCTTTGCAGCTGCTGGTGTAAGAGCAGCCCTGCAGAGCCTCCAGAAAAAAATGTGTCTTTATTTGTAGCTTTATTAACGTGGATTTATTGTGCAAGTCAGGATTAACATTTTGCAAATCCTACGTACAGTACAACTGAAAAGAAATGGGAAAGACATTTGCACAATCACAGTTACGAAAATCCATTTAAAATGGGATTTCATAAAAAAGCAATGGACTGTGTCCCAATCTGTGCAAACTAATAAGCTTAGGAAACATTTGAATAAATATATCATGAAAGTAGACATCACAATTTAAAAAGCACAAAACTGATTGGTTGTTTGCTAGTTTTAGCTAAAAAAAAAAAAAACAGTTTTCTATAATCCTCAATAATGTTCCTTGAATTAAACAACAAAATACACCAATATGACATTTTCTGCTCTCTTACATGAAAAGTCATTGTGTTAAAAAAACATACAAGATAAGGGGGCGATGAGATGATTACACATATCCACACAAGCAAACGTACATAGACATGCACAGAATTGCAGATCACCTGATATCATGCAGTCACAACATACTTTATTAACACTATGGAGTACCCCCCTTGTGTTGACACTATACAGTCAATGACCAGACTTGCCATATCAAAACACAGCCATGCCATTGCGTCACAGGGGTTCACAGACAAAGTAGGTTTTAAAAGTTAGCTGTCAGCTCACTGGGACTAAACGGGCCCTTCCACCACATGTATTATTATTGTATTTCAGAGTAATGTTTGCACTATCTATAAGCTGAAAGGCATCTTTGGAATATTAAGGAACACTGAGCTTTTGTGTCATGACATCAAAGCTGAGCAACGGATTCTATATTGACTTCACTGTCACTATTTTACTACAACAGGTTCGAAAACAAAAAACGCACCACTGCTAAGACCTTATCTGAATTCCTGCGTTTATCCTGCAGACAGCCCACACTGTTCGGTTACAATGCCCAGTAATGATAATAATACATTTCATTTGTATAGCACTTTGCAAAGTTACACTCAGACAAAGCAAGTTAAAGGAAAAAAAAAACCATTCAAACCATGTCGCAAAAAGCAAGATTAGTCATTAAATGCAGGTCTAAAAAGGTGGGTTTTGATCAGTGATTTGAATTGGGGGTAGGTCGGTACAGTCATGGATGTGTTTGTGGAGAGAGTTCCAGAGGGAGGGGGCTGCAATGGAAAAGGCTCTGTGGCCTATGTAAAAGGTTAGTGATTATACTACACCTTGCAGGCGGGCCTTTCCTTTACTTTTTACCTGAGGCTACACTGTGGTAACATTATGACTACTCAGTGGAATACACAACCCCCAGTACACAAACATGAAAGAGAACAGTTATTTCCTAATGGGTCATTCAGATGTTAATCAAAGAGTAACACCGAGTGGGCTCAGAAAAAACTAACAAACAATTAGCTATTACCTAATTGAGATTAAGCCCAATATAACAACTCAGACATTTTCAACTTGTGTAACTGTGTAAAAAAAAATCTTCATACAAACACAAAACCCTCAAAACATTTAGGGGTATGCACCTCAGTATTATCTCACTGGTGTGTAGTGTATGTGTCTTCACACCATGCTGTTACTTTACTTTGACATGTTTTACATTCCCTCATGTACTGTTGATATGCACCATTTTGAAGAACAACTTTCTGTATACCATTCCATTTCAGCTGAGCATTTAGCTCTTTATCAATGCAGCACTTTTACCAATATTTCAAAACGGAAATATTTGTACTGTTACAAAAATAGAGGACTTTAATTCTTTCTTCACATCTGCAGTCCACACACAGACATACATTCCTCCAGTATTGTCAATAATCAATCTGCCAATTGGGTTGGTGTGACCTTTAACTCCTAAAAAGTAAAAAAAAAAACTTCTTTACAAACAGATTTGTGTTGCTTCTCTCTGGTAACACTCCCCTGTTTAGTACACATGCTTAGAGGTAAAAACCTGCTTTAGAATTGCCAGCCTTGTCACCCCAGTTAATGGTGCAGTAGGATAGAGTTTCATTTCCTTCAGAGCTTTCTGACCTTGTCTGCCTTCACTACACTCTTGCCACTACTACAATTCTCCTCTCTTCTGCTTCTCCTTGGGGTTTGCCTTTGTGTCTGCTTGTCATTCAGCGGTGAAAGCAATGAAAGCTGATTAACAGAGATACACAAAGCCAGGAGCTATTCCAGCTCCACTGCTGTGCAGAGCCTATGCATGTCCAGGTTGGACTTTATTTTACTCTCCAACACAGTCTTCACACGGTAAAGGCTCAACAAACACATACACAGCCATGGATTTTAAAATGAGAGGATAATGAGTTCAAACTACCTGCATGTGTACATGTTTGATTACAAAATTCATTGTTCTGTAATAGTGATTAATTACACATAAATGTAAAAAAAAATGTATTCCCTCTCTTAAAATCAATACACTTATACAAAAAGACACATATAACAACCATTTAATGCTATTTCTATTAAAAATGCCAGGTTTAAATGTCAAGGAAAGGCAGAGAGCTTTAAAGAGGCATTTAAAGAAAAACTCCTCTACAAGCAGTCTAAGTACTCCGTTATCTGTGCTGCATTCAAAAGCAGTTAGAATGTTGAGTGAACACAGGACACAGAAAGTGTCTGTGAGTCTCAACAGGCAAATAAAAGAAAGAAAATTGTCAGCCATGTTGGAGTAGCTTTATCTAATATCCCCTCCTTATTATGTTGGCTCTTGCTTTTACGGTGGGGGACATTGAGCCATTCCTCGCCTGATACAGAAAACACCACAAAACACACCCGTGGTCAAAAGACACGAGGCTAAAGCAGAGTATTAACACACTAAGCAAGGTCTCACCTCCTGGTTACGTCCCTCCACTTTGTAGAAATTCCAATAAACCGTCTGGAGCTTCTCTTTAACAAATCCTAAAGGGCAGCCATCTTGCCTCCTTCTGTTCTTCTATGAAACAGACTATCCTCCACATCAATATTCATGGAAACCAGTCTGACGTCAGCTCTCATCATCAGGAGAAGCCCGGGTGTCGCTGTTTGGCGGCCTGAGAAGCACACTCATGTGGCTTCGGTTTGTTCGGCTACACAGGCGCAGAGTAGACGAGATGTGGCTGCAGGTCAGAAGGGGAGCGCCTCGCTTTGCTGGCAAACTGAAATAATCACAAAATCACTTTCCTGCCGGGTCCTTCCCACACAAAGAGACAGGTTTTCTTTCCCTCCTCTGCTCCCTCCTCTTTTTTTTTCTTCGCTCAGCCGCACACAATAGTGAACACTATGATGGCTGCCCTGAAGCACTGGAGTGGATTTAGTGAGCAGGACAGGACTCCACCTCCCAGTGCACTTCATGTTGAAAATTGCACCGCTCTCAACAGTCTGACTGAGGCAGGGGAAAAGATGCCTCCACCCCCCCTTCCTTTTTTTTTCTCAGACAGGAAGCCAAGTGACTCAGGGTTTTTCCCTCCCTTCTCACACCAATCTCGACTTCCTCCTTTCATTTTCTTTCTTCCTCTGTCACTGGTTGCAGAAGTTCCCCTCTGGTGTAATAGCACTCATCTTTTAAGCACATTACAGCAACATTTGGAGGTGGGCAGTTTGGAGTCAAACCAGTTCAGCAGTGTTCTCATTTTCCAGCCGCCGTGTCTTATTTTGGCACACCTCGTCTGACTGGCTGGCTCATTTTTAGAGCGGAGTGAAAGACAACTCTGCCGCCTGCATACAGGCAGCATAACTCTGCTTCATGTGGTTGCCAAGACCCACCTCCTGTTGACACTGGCCACGTGGGCCTGAGAGAAATAGAGGCAGCAGTGTGAGAGACAAAAAACGGGGCTGAGGGTGGTTTAAAAGACAGATTCACCCATGGAAGAATGCCATAATAACACAAGGAAAGATGTGTCATAATACAAAGAGTACTTAAGCAGACAGGCGTACTAGTTTTTACGCAGAGCTGTGAGTTTGAGTGTTGTTTTTGAAAAAGTCTGTTGTTGCATCTTTGATTTTAAACATGTTAGAAAAGTTTCCAAAGATGGAACAGAAATAAAATAGAATAGATCAAACCACCAGTCAATGGCCCCTCCATTTACTAAACTACACAATTCCTCTTTTTCTTTCCTAACAGGTTACAACTGTCTTAAAATGAATCTGCCTTTAGCTGCAGTTGAGGCTTAAGCAGCGACCCCACCTCTTTCCTTGCGGCCCCTGCCTTGCTGCAGTGACATTTGTTGACTCAATAGTTTCAGGGCCGAGAGCAGAAAAGGAGATTTGTTTTTACACAGATTGGGGGAGGGGAAGTGGCTGCAGAGAGGAAGGAGGAGACACTCTTAACTGCAACACACAGACCCTGTAAACACAAAGTGGAGCCTTTTTACACGCAGGCTGTTTTTATCCTCGCATAACTAAGCTGTTACTCAGGTGGACGTTAAACCAATGAAGTGTAAACCTTTAAATCATGTTATACAGTCACATTTTTTTTTTTAATCTGTCATTCTAGCGGCTTGTGGGGACATTTTACTAGTCAACCTTTAGCAGTGCATTTCTGAAGAGTGTCCTAAATGATCAAAGTCACACTTCTGATTTTCATCATGGACACTGTTCAGATGAAGTCATTCTCTAAAAATCCTGATAAACTTCATTCTTTCAGCCTAAAATGAAGAAGCAGAAGAAAAGAAATAGTGGTGTTGGACTTCTAAAACTTTAGGAGGTTTATTTTGAAGCCCTAAACAAATACCACAAGTGGTTAATAAATGCAGATGCAGCATATCGACTCAGATTTGGACTGTTTTATAGGGCTAAAAAGACATCAGCCTCATCTCAATCAAAACCATTGTTAAAGCAACTGCAGCTTATATCAATGAGTCATGTATCAGCTTTATTTGTAAGAGATACGAGGTTGACTGAATGTTTCTGGAGTTTCTAGGGCACCGCAGACAATGACATGTACATGTTTGTCTTGAGCTGGTGTCCGTTGTTTGCATTGCCCTATTTGAGCTGCACCTTGCCCATGACTGATGCTTAGAGGTGTTGTGCTGAGCAATCATGAAATCCCCCCAGAGGACTTGTGAATATCTTAAGAAGTCAATAAATGAGAGGACACTTTTCTTTCTTTATTATCTGCCATCAAGGTGCCCCTGAGCAAGGTGGTAAACCTTCCACTGCAGCCATGAAGTGTCCCAGTGCTCCGGGCCGCAGTGCTATCAGGGGTTGTTTGGTCTGGTCAGCTTCCTGGCTGTGCTGCTTCAGGTTGTTGTTATATTCAAGACATGGTGCTCAGTGAACAGTAAAAAAAAGTCTGTTTAAATTACATTTTAAATGCACACTGACATTTCTTGTAGCTGTTTTCCATTTCTCAATGTTATTTTCTTAGGTAACTTTTCCATGGCACCAAGCTTCTATATTTGTATCTATTTTTTATATAGAGCTTGATCTGCCATCACGTCACACCAGTAGTGCAGTAAATGCATTTATCAGAGCTTATCTTGCTGCTTAAACTGGCTGCACTTATTTAAGCTTGTGCATTGGAGGCAGGAAGGCAGGAGACCCCCTTGCTGGGGCTGTTTCCCCCTTGTAAAGCTACTGTAACTCGTAAAATCAGAGATTATCTCGTCATTCCCCTCACCTTGTCACATTTCAAAGGCCTGGCGGCATGTGCCGTCACCTCCATCTGTAAACACAGAGCTGTGGCCTGACACTGACCTCAGGGTCACCAAAATTTAGGCCCACTTGTCACTTGACTGATTTCACACCTGAAGAGGATGATGAGGATTAGTGAAGAATTTTACTGTTCCCAGTGCCCTTAATGATTTATGATAAACAAATCAAACACAGGAGCCTGCTGGTCCTCCCAGGTCAGCGATCTGGCTCTCTGCTCTAAGATGTGTGTGTCACTATAACTCATGAGGTAGTTTCTAAATTCACTCCCTAAGCAGATGTTTTTTTAGCTCAGACTGTGGCTTTAAAGTATGGGTTGATATTATCAAGCTGGGTGGTGCAGCCACAGCGAATTGAGTCATTTGTTTCTGCATATCATTTGCCGTGTTGGAAATTGTAACTGACAAAAGGCAGGTAGTCTCTCGGCCTGATAAGGCCGACTTATATTTCCCCAAAAAACACCAACACCAGGCTACACATTGATGTAGCCCATATTAGATACTTAAAGAGCTGTTCACTTATGTAAAGCTACATTTTTTGAAAAGTGTGTAAAAAGTTCAAACAAAAGTTCTTTGTCAACTTAACAGTTTTTAATTCATTAATTGCAAAAAAAAGCTATGAACAAAGTTTTAATTTATTTGTTCTTAGGTGTCGCATACAAGAAAATGAGTAATTGAGAGTAGTAGTAGTTTATTTTTCAATCAGCATTTACCTTTTGCCTTGTGAAAAAATACAGTATTACATAGTAATATATCACTCTAAAATACTCAGAGGGATTCAATCAAAATAGTGTGTGCCTGCCCTTTTCTTCTCTAATATCTGTCTCTTGTGTGCTTTGAAAAGTTAATTTTCTGTATTTAGTGTGAATTATTGACTCCTAAATAAGGTGGAGACTCAAATCAGTACAGGCTGATTTGTGTTGAAGGCACTGATTTACAGCTGCCTTTCTTTACATTGTTCTCAACAGGGAGAAAAGGGTGACATCTGAGGCACCCGAAGAGCTGCTGAGGCTCGTGGTGAAGCTGAGAAAACCGGCACTTCCCACAAACAGCCGTGGTATTAGCACACATCTCACCTGGGGCAATCTAAACACAAACTCTTTATGTAGGGTAATAACAAGGTAGCCTCTGTTTGGGCCAATACACAAGCGTCTTGACAAACAAGATCACCCCCCCCCCCCCCTAACAAGATGTCACCCGGTGCTGCCCCTCCTCCTGCAGTTATCTTAAAAGACAAGGGAGAGTCGTTAGTGTGGCTCTCACAGAGCCTAATTGTTTAAGCCTCGGCGGGGGGTCTGGGGCAGGATGGTGGAGATAGAGGTTAAAAGAACAACAGAGTTATTAAACAACAGTTTTATTTAATATTATTTAGCTCTGAAGGACTATTTATTTCAGGTATTTTGTCCCACCTCACGATTCCACTGTGTCCATTGTGTGTATTTGTGTGTGCATGCGTGTGTGTATTTGTGTATTTGTGTGCGTGCGTGTGTATTTGTGTGTGTGCGTGCGTGCGTGTGTGTATTTGTGTGCGTGCGTGCGTGCGTGTGTGCGCGTCATCTCACAATTGACAGAGCTGCTCCCCGGGCACAGCAGGGTTGGATAGGACCAATCATTGCCTGCTGCTGTCCCCGTGACAACCAACTGCTCGTGATAGGTTTAAGAGCTGGTTCCCGCAATCAGGCTGCAGGTGCTTCCATCCTCCCCTCCATCACTGCCCCCCAGCTGAAGCCTCTGAGGCTCAGCCCTCTGTTGAGAGCAGGGAAGCCCTTTTTCTTTTTTTTCTAAAAGCAGCTGTGTGATACGAGCCTCTCAAGCACTTCTCCAGCTCCCAGGCCCAGTGAGGAATCACCGCCTGGTCCAGCACATGTTTCTAGTTAGGGTGCAGATCAAAGCTACTTTTCTTTCAAGCTCTTCTCAGACCAAGGGAAGAAAGTAAAAACTCACCTATATGTACACATATTTAATATTTAGTTAATACACAGGAGCAATCTCTTTCACTTGATGATTGACTGATTTGGAAAATAAACATCTTTCCGGGCTGTCCTTGGTAAGTACCTGGCAGTCTGCACTGAAGCCCCACTAGTTGCTGCTTACCCTTCCTCGTGTTTGGCACGGAGCATCTGATGACCCCTGCTGGTGAAGCCCTATAGGACCTAGAATACATCTGATCCTCCTCTTTAGGAGAACGAACAGGCTCACATTTCCTTCATTTTCCTGCACTTTCATGTTTAAACTTTATGAACAAATTCTGAAACCTGATTATAGTCGTGTAATTCTCTCAAAGTAAAACAAATCTGATTTATTTGCAGAGTCGTCAAGTTTTTATGACTCACAGAAACAATGTGTAGCTGTTAAAACAGTCACTTCGTGTGCTGACAAACTCACACTTGACATTTACAACCCTTTTCAAATTGTGATTTCACAACAGCACCGTAAAGAAACTCCCCTGTCATTATGTCTTTATATTAATGCTGCATGGCATCAATATGAAAGCTGTGCTTAGTATTGAAAAACATAATGCACACCATAATATTGGTGTCTCATTCTGTGATTTCACAGCGGTACGGCATTGCAAAGCACAATGGGTAAAGAAACAGCGAGGTC